TGTGTGTGTGTGTGTGTGTGTGTGTGTGTGTGTGTGTGTGTGTGTGTATGTTACAGTAATATGTTCTTGCAATTTTTTTTATCGAATCGGTCTAACTTAATAAAAACGAAGAAGTAATTTGCAACGCGAATTCAATATCTTCCGCCAGCAATACGCAGGCGTTGCTAATTCAAGACAGTTGCAGTGGGCATAGACGGATTACGAAAACTCATTAACCGACTAATACCTTTAAACGAAGGAGCCTTTTCGCCGTGCACACGTTCCAATAGAGCCGTCGCAAACTTGCGGATAAAACAATCTGACCCCGACCGATATGCCGATATACACGGTGTACAATAGCCGTAGCGATAACGTATCGCCCGAAGCTGGGTTGAAAGGAGAGGATAGACGACTGAGCGTGGAAGAATCAATTTATTATCACGGTAAAAGAGAAGGAATGCAAGCAGGTATTATTACAGAGTTTCCGAACATTTAATCATAAATATCGACAACGATGAGGCTGAATAAAATTACTTTACACGAGCAAAAACAGATATGAAGTACCGAGGCAAGCGAGATATGAGGATATAACGTGAGATTGCTCGGAAAGTCTTAATTATACTTTTGGGAAGAGGTACAAGAAAGCTTCCTTGATTTCGCGGGAGACAAAAGCTTGTACCCAGGCGAGGAAGGGGAGTGGAAGGGGAGATTAAAGAACGAGCGTATGCAGAATTGATCGCTGAATTACGGCCACATTATGACGGCGAAATTTGCTGGGGCCGCACTTTACCGGCCCGCAGTGAATTAATCCGCGAGAAAGAAGACTCGAACGGCCCCCTCCGACACCGGGAGCCGGAAGCCGATGATTCATTTCGGAGGAAGCGTACAGGGCAACTGATGGCGACGGCGCGGCGGAGAGCTGCTGCGGCGGGAGTGCGCCTCGGAAGAGGATTCCGGTAACGAGAAGCCCAGGCTCGTCGATTAAACGATCGAAAGACGCTGACGTACGTGGACCATTGTCTAGGAAATTCGTTGGCGAAAATTATCGGGGTTTTTATTAATCTCGCGGAACTTATCGCAAATGTTTTTAATATGTTTTTGAATTCGATAAACATATGCATATAAGATATTATATCCTGTCATAAACGAAATTATTTGATTGTTCTTTTTACATAAATTGATTCCTCTTATCATTCTGCGTATAAACACTGTTAAAATAAGAAAAAGAGTGAATATAAAGGATTTTTCATATTTTATAAAAATGAAATATATATATGTATACTCTGATGTAATCAAATATAAGTGAAAAAATTACGATATAATAATTTATAAGAACTCTTCTCTTTTTGTTCAGCCAATAGGTATGCACTTGAAGAAATATGAGTGGGTAGGCGCGCCTGACATCGGCGACTGTTCGTTATGGGTCAGATCAGCAACGTTAGAGTTTGATGACGGACTTTGGCAGTGCCAAGTAACCGCCAGTGATTTCACTACGCAGGACGCGTTAGCATCCGAACCAGCGAGGCTGGTCGTCAGAGGTAAATGTTATACGCAGATAAAACATAAAATCGCGAATTTATTATTGTTGAGCAAAAATTATTTTTTGACCAGCGAGCGAGAAAGTGGGGAAAAAAATCTTGATTCTGAACGTGTGTTTTATTATACGAGTCAATCCTGTTTTAAATATTTGATAAACGACATGGAAGATGTATAGATAGAAATAGCGAAAGCACATACCATATCGTACAATAGCGATCGCATTATTGCGTCATTACGCGGGATGATAATTACGATGTACTTCGATGAGGTTGAGGAATCGAGTCGTATTCAGCCAAATCGAATCATCTTGTTTTCTCATGTTAATGGTTGGGAAATAATTGATTTCGGAAGCTCGCGTTAGCGAAACGATCGACACAATCATTGTTACACACCGCGCGCGCAACAATTCGCATAATTCGATAAATACTCACGTAGATTCGCACTTTGGCCTCCGCCATCATCGTTATCCTCGGAATTACATCGTGCCTCATCGAATATATATTTTGTGCTTTTTATCGGCCGAAATTATGGTAGATTTAATATCTCTCGTCCGGGGATCATACGTACATTACACCGAGAACATACGGCGATTAGTTGTACAATACCACCTGGACGACTACCTCGATGTTACATTCGCCTGCATGCAGTTAATCCCATGACACAATTAGCAATAAAGCAACAGGATTTATTTCCGCGCCGTAAAACTAGGGTTTGCCAAGAACACAAAAATCTCCGCTTCTTTTTGTTAATCTTACGGCTTGCGGTAACTAATTGCAATTTGCACCTCCGTTAATATTTATGAGGGTAAAATTCAAAAATATCGATATTTTATCGCGCTTATAAAGAGACTAGCTGGTTACCCGGGCTTCGCCCCGGAGGACATATGTAATAAGACACGCAAATAGTCTCTTTCTTTCTCTCTCTCCCTCTCTCTCTCTCTCTCTCTCTCTCTCTCTCTCTCCCGCTCTGGAAAATTTCGTAACCGATTTCCAAAAAGATACCGATTCCCAAAAAGATCGGTAACGAAAAACTATACAGTTTATAGCACTTCCCGGGAAATTCTACCCCTACTTCATATATAATTTTTTGCGATTCGGTCAATTAATTCCCGAAAAATTTGAAAAATTTCTGATACCGGCTTCCAAAAAAATCGGTAACGAAAAATTATACACTTTATAGCACTCCCCGGAAAATTCTACCCCCGTTTCATATACAATTCTTTGAGATTCGGTCAATTATTTCCCAAAAATTAAAAAAAATTAGAAAACCGGTTTCCAGAAAATCGGTAACAAAAAACTATACACATTATGACACTCCCCGGGAAATTCTACTCCTGTTTCATATATATTTTTTTGAAATTCGGTCAATTATTTCCCGAAAAAATAAAAAAATGTCGAATACCGGTTGCCAAAAAAATCGGTAACGAAAAATTATACATTCTATAACACTCCCCGGAAAATTCTACCCCTACTTCATATACAATACTTTCAAAACCAGTCGAATAGTTTAAGAGTGCATAAAGGACATACATACATACATACATACATACATTCATTTATATATATATAGATTATGTAAAATCTGACCGTAGATTTGTACTAAATTCAGTGATATCGTAAATTTGTAAGTAGTATGAGCGTAAAGAAAAATATTATGGAGGGTTACAATAATATTTCAAAGTTTCTTCTTTGCGCGAAATTTCGTCGTCTAAGATTGAAAGGGCATTCAGTGCTTTCAGGCGGGGGGAGGGGGAGAGCGAGGGGGTGCCATGCCGGCGCGTCGACTGTGCGAGAGCGATGGCATACGGCGGGATTAATCCGTGCTAATTTTCTCATTCCAGTCAGCCCTCAGCGACCGCAGATAGAGTACGCCGACCGTCTAATTCTCCCCGGCAGCAACGTGACAGCCCGAGCAGGTGAGATCGCTACGCTCACTTGCAGAGCGCGGTATGGGAATCCTTCGCCTCTAATTAAATGGTTCGTAATTGTTGCACGTAGATTCCATACTACTTAACTTGCTGCGCCGCCGAAACCCCCCTTTACCTGGCACGCGCGATCTCTCGCTTCGCGTGTCTCGCTCGCTTCTCCGTCCCTCGCGGCTCCCCCGTCTTCGTCGCGCGCCAAGTTTCTTTCCGCTCGTTTGCTCTCCCCGTTACGAGCGTAATTATTCAACAATTTATGGATCTCGCGGATTAAGGTGATTGGGCCATCAGAGCATGTTAAAGAAAAAAATCCGAATTAAATATATGTTATAAAAAAAACCTAAATACGCTTAAATTTGCAATTTTGAGAAGATCTGACGTCTAGTTGTTAAGATATTAAATCTCAAAGTTGGCAATTTTAACATAGGTTTTATGCGAAATTGTACCGAAAACATACATTTTTCGAGAATTTCACTCACTGTCTGTAAAGAAACAAGTTCAAAAAACTGAAAATAACATTATTTGATTCTTCTAGCATTTGTTAAGTATAAGACAAAACGACGTTGACGTGTAATAAGGCCAAAAATTCAATCAAAAGTTGATGAATCGTCGCGTTTCTTGTCGGCCTTTCGATCAGCTGTACGCGACGTGAACATGTGGCAACGCCGCGCCGTGTAGTGTTTTCTTTCCACAGCACTATTCTTTGGCAAGAAAATCTCCGTTATCGAAATTGTTTGTTACCTTCCATTATTTTTTAACATAAACACAATACATAACCTCACTCAAACACATGGCACTGGCATGATAGCTGCCTACATCGAAGAGATGCAATGTCGCGACATTTCTCTTGTACGAATGTCAACTGAAGTCAAATCTTGAACTTTTTACATTTATCAGTAGATAAATTGATACGTAATCGAATGAAAAGTTACATTATAAAACCAGTAATTATACAAGTGTCTAGAATATATCCATAAAAATGGTTTTTCTTAAAATAAAATTTAGCCCTTATATTGACTCATATGGTACATGGCCCAATCACCTTAAATGGAATGTATCGGTTATAAGGAGAAGACGATAAACATACGGAATCGCTTGCCATTTTCATTTAACTTTTAGGGGGAATGTTTGAGCGAAACGTAAAATTTTAATTTTGCTGAAACTAACAATTATACATCGTAGCTCTAATGAAACTGCGTAATTTTCAAATCACGAGTTATTTTATCGCTAAAATATTTCTTTCATCAAAGATTCTTTTTCTCTCTTCCGATTTTGAAAGATCTGCTCTTCGCGATTTTTTTTCATTGAGGGCTTTTCTTTCGCGCTCCGTGATTGATCGGGTTGTCTTAGGTAATCAAAATATACGTTACTATCGATTCCGAGGCGTCTTCTACCATCGACGTGTGCCTTTTCTTCGGCCGTCGTTGGAGCGCGCTTGTTCCCGCCGCTCAAAGATTCCCCGTAATGCATCGAGGACGCTGTCGATGGTAGAACACGCGCCCCATGAATAATCATGATCTATTCTGCATTGTGCCCGAGTGAAATTAAGGAGGCTACACGATGCATTTCGGTGCGCGACGGGAAAACATCGGAAGGGGAGTCTCATGCGAGGGATCAGCGGACGGCGAAATTTTTGGTCCGGTTTTTCTTGCTTCCCACGACATCGCACGACATCGTCTCGGGTCGTTCCGAGAAAGTGAGAAGCGCTCCCGAGCGGGGAGCGGGGTTTAATAGTTTTACGGCGGAACAAAAACAAGCGTCTCGCGGCGAGAAAGAGAGAGAGAAAGAGAGAGAAGCGCAATCTCTCTTGGCTTTAAACCTTGCAATTTTCGGTTAGCGGGACGGCTGGCGTCCGTAGAGCCTCGGGTCGCGTTTCAAATTGTACAGACAAGGTCCCTTGACAAGGCGACTGTTCTCCTCTGCCAGCCCTCATCTGCTCTCGCTTACCCACTTACTCACTGGGAATTATCCTAATTGGCATACGCGCGGCGCAGCGCGGAATATGTGTATGCATAAACGTGTTAATTATGACCGTGCGGAGAGACCGGGAGATTGCACGGGCGTGCAATCGAGTATTGAGCTTCCATCTTCCATCCCTAAAAAGATAATCGTCGACAAACGAGGTGGCTGTCGTGATCATTGTTACGCAAATCGCGAACGTAATGTGCCTGAGATAAGTTTAATGCGCTATACAGCTTTGTGAATACAACGACTTGCTCCTTTCTGTTTACGAGATACGAATTTATGTTTTCATATTACCCTTTCATATTATCTTTCGCACGATAATAACTTCGAGCACCGAGAGGCTTAATTCAGGAGAGTGCCGCCGTTAGTCGGAGTCCGCGAAACTGCGCGCAAGACTTAAGAAGAGCAGAATTCTGAATAATCCGCGACGATGAGCCTCGATGGGGAAGGTTTGGTGGGGTAAGACGGGAGAGGGTAAGAGGGCCAGGCAGAGAATGGCGCGGCGCGGTGGCGAAAACGGGGATGATCGAGAGCGAGATAGAGAGCGAGACCGCGGAGGAAGATGTCAAGGAGAGGAGGGGGAGCGAGTAAGAGTTGTTGCAGAACAGCCATTGGAAATGCAAATTTTCGGGGCGATATGCAGGTACGTGGGCGAGACCGAGATGAGGACGTTGCGGCCCCAGGTAAACTCGACCGAGATAGATAATCCGCGCACTTGGGCAACCTACAGTGTTTGCGAGATTCTGGCTGAGCGATCACGTTACGGGCAGCCGATCAGATGCGTCGCCATCCATCCGGCGTATGCCAATCCCACAATGTCGTCCAGCATCGAAGTGAGATTCGACGTGCGATGTAAGTACACGCGATTTTCTTCGTAAGATTGCGAAGAGGGAAGTCATTAGACCTTGTTGGAAATATGGAAATATGCATCGATGATTAATGTCTCGGGATATTTACGGCATACGTGCGTGTCTTGCCGTCATTTACATTAACGAGACGTTCACCTTAACGGTGAATATCAATTTTAGAAAGAGGAAGTCAATTAATTTTCACTTACCATGGATACAGGAAGTTGGGGTAAGTTGGACCACGCTAAGCCTTTTTCAAGATAACTTGAAAACGTGTTTAAAATTTTTACTCATAACAATATAATATAATATACATATAATGGATGTCGTGATGGTTCAACTTGCTCACGTGGTCCAACTTACCCCAACTTCTTCTAACTGGCGATAAAAAAAAAGAGAAAAGTAGTCAAATAAAAGTTGATAGTAAGAAAAGAGAACAGTAATGGCGACAATATAAGGACGAAGGCAGGTGTGAAAATAATTGGAGATAGAAGTTAATATTTATTACGGAAAGTTTCAAGTTTTTATATTTTTAGATCGTCTTCAAAGTAAGATTATATTGTATTATAAAATTATCGCCAGTTGTTCTTGGTAAATGAAAATTAATTAACTTCTTTTTTAAAAAAATGACAATTAATTATTATTAAGGTCATCAAATGGGATTTGTCTCGTTAATGTAAATAACGCTAAGACTCGCGCGTCTGCTGTAAATGTCAAGTGACGTGTGGTATAAATAGATCCTTTAACAAACTCGGTTTATAAACTCGTCTTCCTCGCGCCGAGAAAATAGAACTCCGTTAGGATAGTTTAATCCTTCGCCGTTCGCGAAGTTCGTGCCTGAATACAGACGAGTTTCTAATTGATTATGAACGATGACAAGAATCGTTGTCTCAGCGGATTATAACGGCTTATTAAGTCTTCTTAATGGGCATCGCTAATTTGAGAATATTATACGTCTGGAATGCGCGTGGATGGAAAATTCTTATCTGTCATGAAACAATACGTATACACACGAAATGAAAAGTATAGGATACGTTAACCATACATAATAATTATTAATTATTACGGCTTTGATATCTGTATCTGACAGTTTGGAGAGGTGATAGTACACAATGGCCGCAATGAATTCTATCGAATATTCGCTTGTATTAAACTTTGAACAGTTTTGCCCCAAATATGACATCGATGTTGAATCAGCGGGCTTTGTTCCCATTATCCTCTTCACATATATAAATATCGAAATACACGAAGCGATACGCATATTAAGTTTCAACAGTATGTCGCCATAATAAACACTTTTTTCAACGTAAGGCGAAATGTTGCGCGATTATACCTGTGTTCGTGAAAGAAGCTGCTTTCTTTGAAACAGACTTTTGAAATAAAATGCGCAAAGAAGGACGGAGCGGTAGGTCGAGATTAAGGTGGCTCTTCTTTTTTTTTTCCCTTGCATAGTCGTGCCGGTCATCAAGTGTGTTGTATGCATAATGGAAACGGCGGAAGGAGGGAGAAAATATACGACGCTGGAACTTCCCTTCCTTCTCAGCCGCCATCTGCACGCGTAGAAATATATTTCTAGCCATAATGAAAAACTTTCGAACAAATTTCCGGCAGCGTAGCTTGCTGCTGTGTTTAACTCGCATAATTGACAGTGCTCTGATACACATTCTCGATTATGCCAAACTCTATATAAAACTACTTCTTAGAAATAATATGATATTTAATAAACTAGGCTATATTATAAAAGTGATTGACAGGAAATTGTTTTCTTATTGGCAGTCTTACTTCAATATACAAAAATACATAAAATACATAAAATATAAAAATATGCATTTTTATATTTTAAATTAATGTTTGAGTTAATCAGCTTATTTATATTCACGCTTTTGATCTAAATTTACAATTTATTAATAATCAATCATATTTACCTGCTACATTTACAAATATTCTCTTTCTAAAGAGAAGTGATTTAGTTAAATTGAAATGGAGCTAAAATCAAATCAAAGCCGAAAATGTCTAATTAGAACTATTATAATATTTATAATTATAGAATCATTAAAATAATTTCTTGATCCACTATATTTTCGATTTGATTTTAACATATATACTATAGCTACGTTTATATATAGTGACGTAGATAATAGGGGTATTCAAATAAGTTAGAGTTTAACGGTTTGACAGGTTATGTCGGGTTAAAGTCGGGTAAAAAGTTAATTTTTACACTTTTAACCCAAAGATTAATGTGATAGGTTAATGAAACACTTATGTATTTTGCATAACCTTAAAGAGTAGCGCGCCCAAAGTTAATTAATTAACTTTTTATTCGACTTTAACCCGACATAACCTGTCAAACCGTTAAACTTTAACTTATTTGAATACCCCTTATAGGATTTTCAGTATAGGTACTGGCAGTGAACATCGGAACCTATATATCTAACAGTTTATATAATGTAGTCAGTTAGGCAATATATAATACAATATAGAATCAATATATTTCGGGACAAGAAAAATCCATTATGCCGTTCGTAAATTAAAGAAAGACATCGCGCGCTCGTAATTTTTACACGATAAAGATAGGTTGAAAGAGCGCCGATATTCTCATCGTATTATCAGGGCGATAATATCGATGCAAAAGCGCATTTGGTAAAAAAATTAGGAGGACACGGGGCCAACGTACGTTTCTCGCACAAATTGCAGGGAAATAGTCCGCCGGCAAAACGCCCGGTCATGAAAAACGGATCGGCAAAAAAGTCACTGTACTGTGGCACGTCCGTGTAACACACTGACCTCAAACCGTTTCGCATCTCTAACCATCCCCAACAATACACCGATTTAACCCGGGCGCGCATTCTCACGCACACACATGCAGACGCATACACACGGCAGAGAACCGCATGTTTCCCTCTCTCTCTCTCTCTCTCTCTCTCTCTCTCTCCATTCCCCTTCTCCTCTTTCTCTCTCATCAATCTCCCTCAAATCAGTACGTCGTGATGTCATGCGTTTTAACCTTATCGACAATTCGATGCCCGGCTGAACATTCAGGCAGATTTTAACGCTTTTTGCGAAACCATGCTGCAGCGGACAGCAGCCAAATGAGTATTGATTTTAGCCTCGGCCCCGGCATCGTTGTATAACTGCAATCAAATCACGGTTGATTTAAATAAGATTATTACCAATAACAGGGCAGCCTTTGAATCATCACGCGTCGATCTTGCGTATCGATAATTACAATAACTTTATAGGATAATTATAATCGCGCGCGTGTGTGATTCGTTTCATTAGTTTGATGACATAACTGATCGAGGAAGAACGAACGTTAAAAATGGTCCCCTTCTCTAGCAGCGTAATTATTATCCCGCTGTTAATGTGTAATAGGAATATCGAATTTAAAAGCGGCGTAAAAAGATTTTCACGATATCGCTATTGAATTTAATAATTTTGTGGCTTGCCAACAAATCCCATGTCCAATACGAATTTTGAAATCGAATCGACTATTAAATCTAATGTTATGCAACATTAATTAGCAAACATTTTCGATATCGTATCAGGTAATTAATACGTTAACCAGATTGCATTTGGCTCTTGTGTATGTACGTTTCATCTTTCGCCACGCCACGAATTAATTTGACGGGTGAAAAAGTATTACGTACATGTATGGCTTTACCTTGTTGCGGAGGGGTTAAAAGCGCTCTTTTGCGCTAAAGTTTCACGCACTGTAAATAAATTATTGGAGCTTGTTACACGCGTGATTCGCGTATCGACAAATATTCCGATTTGCCGTTAATGCTAAAGCTTGCGAATAATACTGCCGTGATAACAAAAATTTAATTTCTTTAATTAAATAAAAAATATAGCGATTTAAATTATGTTAACTTTTGGGGAAAAACCTCATTTGTTTCTGTAATAAATGAAAAGAAGCTGCTCTCTGAAAGTCGAAGAGTGAAATGCAAGTGTAACGAAAAGTGAAAATTGAGCCTGTGCACTTCGAGTGATTCGCCACTCTAAGAAAGAGTGAAATTGCACTCCATTTAAGTGAAAGGGCACTCTTTTCGAGTGCAGTAGATCAGTATTAATAAAAGTTAATTATGTCACTTTACAATTTTGAGTGAACAATTATTTTACTCTGTTATAAATCATTTATTACTCGAGTGTTTATCACCCCGATAGAGTAGCCGCTCTAAAAATTTGAGTGTCAAAAATTCACTCCTATCTTATGAGTGCCCGCACTTATTCAAATTAGAGTGACAATCCTCTCTTTTGGAGTGATTATCGCAATCACTCTAATATATTAGTAGCAAAACCACTCTATGAGATTTAGAGAGTACAATCTCTCGAATTAAAGTATTTATTATGATTTATGAATGTCGACGCGCAAAGTGACTTTATTTCAGTAGTCGCGGTTTTAAGTACGCCAGCCGCTCGCGGCTGTTAAACGTATTCGACGCGCTCCACCGAGACGTGCAATCTCGATCATGCACGTGGCGTCAAAAATTGATTCGCCAGTTACCATTCCTAATATCACCTCCAAGAACATCATTTCCCCTTCCCACGTTCGGCCCGATCCAATTTCGGCCGCTCCACGGCCGCGTAATTTATAATTCCCACCGCAAATTCGATCTCGAGTCCCGTCGCAGCCCTCTTGGGGACATCTTGTGTATCCATTCGCCCATATATTTGCTTATCCGGGGGGCGGGGGGTGTACGCGTTTGTGTACGTACATATACGCACGCCGACTGTATTGATTACGTGCATTAGGCGGGGCGGGACTTTTCCAACGCAAATTGAAAAGTTCGCCTCCGGAGCATCGATATTATGTGTATATATTCCATGCCAATGCTACTTCGATCGCAAACCGAGGGATTTATCCGCGCTAACGAGAGGGATGCATTTTGCGCGGTGCGGTTTTTAGAGAGCGCAACCGACGCGAACGCCGCGGGTTGGTGACTCGCCTATATTTCGGTCAGCGTGTCTCGAGTCAGTTTGAAATAGTTCCTATGATATATTGAT